AAAGTTTGAGGCCAGTGGATTTTAGCTTTGCTTGTTGTTTCCTGTAGAAAATGCCATGAAGGACAAAGTGCCTGGTTTGGTTTCTTGGCTTTAATACCTTCTTCAATCTTTCCTTTCACAGCATTGAAACAGCTCTGGCACCTCTCCAGACCCAAACCCCAGGGTTTGCCCTGTGTCTGCAGAGCCAGACCTTGGCTGGCCAGTGGGTTTGGAGGTACCAGAGGGTTTTAGGGGTAAAAACTCGAAATAACTTCATTTCAGGAGCCCATAAGGTTCCTCTCCAGAGCAGGGATTTGTGGAATGGAGGTGGGACCAGTGTGTGCCTGCCCTAAGCATCATTCTCTTCTCACCATGCAGGTGAAGGGCTGGAAAAGATGCAGTGGAAGAAATAGGTTAATGTCTCTGGGTACTGCTAAACTAAACTAAATACATCCTAAATAAACTTGGAAATGGCTCAGCCTTTGCTATTGGCACCTTGGACTGGTTGTGTGTTAATTTGTAAAGATGCATCTAAATAAATTGAAATATTTATGGGATGGAAGAGAGTGAGAAGTGCCCTGAGGGCCACTTGCTGCCAGCTGGTTGCCCATCTTCCCTAAAAACGTGACACAGCCAGGAGGGAAAGGTGAGGGTGGAAAAGATGGAAAGGGATGCAGGACGAAAGAGGATGGGGAGGAAAACAGGAGGGGAATTAAACCCAAGGAAAACTAAAGGGTGAAAAAAAAAAACCTTTTGAACTGTGCTTGTCTGAGTGGGATTAAACATCAACACAGGTGGAAGAAGAGAATGGGTGAGAGCCAAGCCATGGAGAGATGCCAGTGGTTGTGAGGGTGCAGAGCAGGTCCAGGGAGGACTCGGGGGCACAGCCTGGGTTGGTGGGGCCCAGCAGGAGGGTGGCAGGAGCTGCTGGGGCCAGGCGGTGTCAGCCACCGGGGCGGGCTGGCCTGAGCCATGCTCCAGGTGAGCCCAGAACAGATTATAAACATCTGGTAATAAATATAAAATATATTAAAATATATAATATAATATAATCTATAATATATAATAATATAATATAATATAATATAATATAATATAATATAATATAATATAATATAATATAAATATAATATAAAGGATACAATAGAAAAGATGTCACTTATTTTATAGTTATTTAATATTATTTATTATAATTATTATAAATATATTTTATCTATAAGAACAGAAAAATATATATGAAATAAATAGATAAATGAATAAATAAATAAAATAATTAATATATAAGTAAAATATAAAATATAAGTACCAAATCATGATGCTGGACGGGACAGGAGCATTCCAGAACAACAGCTGGAGCCTGCCAGGGCAGCAGGGGGGCAGGGGGCCAAAAGAGAATTTCGGCACCACCCTGCCCAAAAACCCTGGACTCTGCTTGTGCCTCCAGGGCAGGCTGCAGGTGATGGGGAGGGACTGGCTCAGTCGAGCAGCTGCTATGCCAAAACAGAGAGCACAGCACAGCCCCGAGCCCAGCATTCACATTCTCTGAAAAATCCCTTTGCCCAGGATTCTTCTCCTGGGAAGCTGAGAAGCCTCAGAGAAAAGGAAAGCAATTCTTATCTCATGTGCTTCTCCTGTGCTTTGCTCCTTTGGAATATGTTTGGAGATTGTTTACCCACAGGTGATTGTTCCATTGGATTTCTGGCCAATCAGTGCCAGGCTGTGTCGGACTCTGGAGAGAGTCACGAGTTTTCATTATTATCTTTCTGGCATTCAGTAAGTATCCTTTCTGTGTTCTTTAGTATAGTATAGTGTAGTAGTCTTTAATATAATATAATATTATAAAATAATAAATTAGCCTTCAAGAACATGGAGTCAGATGCATCATTCCTTCCTGCCATGAAGGTCCCTGCAAATACAATAAATGCTCGCACTCCAAAGGCAATCCTTGCTTCCCAAGGGATTTCTGCTCCCGCTCTAGGACCATCTCGGGCTGCCCCCACACCAGGGGGGGGGACTGTTTTAAAATATTCAATCTTATTTTAAAATATTCAATCTTATTTTAAAATATTCAATCTTATTTTAAAATATTCAATCTTATTTTAAAATATTAAATCTTATTTTAAAGCAAGATTTTAAAGATTAGTAGTTGTGAGTAAAAACTTTGGGGTAAAAACTAATTAAACTATTTAGTAATTGAAATTTTTTTACCTTTTTTTAGGATTGAGATTTTTTAATACAGTAATTTTTTTTTAAAGCTTTGAAAGTGGTTGTAGATAGGATTATGAGTTTGGATTTGGACACTGAGTGTGAAGGTGGAGGAAGTGTAGTTGAATGAAAGATTGATTACTTAGTATGACATTTAAAGAAAGAAGTTAATGTTATATTTGGATTTTTTTGTTGGCGTGTTTTTGTAATAATAACTGAAGGAAGTTATGATTAGTAGTTTGGATAAAAGAAATGTATAAGTAGTTAGAAAATAAAAAGCAGGAATTTGAAGAGATATGCGTTTTGTAGGTGATTATATAAAGAGATGGTAAAACATATGAAGGTTGGGTGTAATGCTTTGTAATTTGAAAGGGACCTGGGGGTTCTGGTCAACACCAGCTGAGATGGTCTCTTCCAACCCGGTGATTCTGTGAATTCTGTGATGCTAATGCTGGTTGCTGATGCTTTGGGTCTCTCTCCCGGCTCTCCATCCCGCTCTCCCGTGCCGTGTTTCCCCCAGATCTCCCCCGTACCTGCTTTTCCTGGCTCTGCCCCGCTGCCAGGGACCAGTGCTTTCTCCCTGGCATTCCAAACCCCGGTCCCAGGGCTGCCGAGTAGCCCCGGGAAGGATCTTTCCCAAACCATTCCTTTGAATAACGACAGCGAAGCAACGGCTCTAGGAAAGATTTGCATTTCAACGCGGGGATGAATAAAAAAAAATCTCCTGCCACTCCTCAGTGCATCCTTCAAGTCCTTCAAAGGCGCTTGCAAATGGTGGCTTTGCCTTTTTCTTTTTTTTTTTTTTTTTTTTTTTTTTTTTTCTTCCTTTTTTTTTTTTTCCCCCCCCCCCCCCCCCCCGAAGGATTATAATATTTAAGTCCTGCAAAAAGAAAAAAGATGGAGAAGAAGACAATGAAAGAAAACAAACCCAGCCCAGAGCCTGCAGGGAGAGGAGCAGTGGCCGGACACAGCAGTGCCCAGCTTGTGTACACATTGCACATCCACAAATAGATATATTTGTATCTCAATCTATGTGCAAACTTAAAAAAATCAATAGATGGATAGATGCTGTTTGCACATATTGGCCTAAATCATATGTAATTTGAAGCTATTAAATTAATACAAAATATTGACATGTGGCTCATATTTGATCTAGAAAACATACTTGTCATTATGTATATTTAATATGTAAAACACACATGTGTTTTGTAGCACAAATATCAGCTATTACATCTAATTAACTTGGTTTAATCCATGATATTTCAATGTTAATGTACAAATAGATATCTACATACTGAACCACTGAGTTATAGTAATGAAAACACCCTTGTGTTTTGTTGTGGTTTGGTTTGGTTTTTTCTCATTCACAGCCTTCTTGTGGAAAAATTCAGGGTTTTGTCTGATGCAATATATTTTCCCCCTCATTTTTTCTGTAAATTAGGGCGGATCCAGCAGCCTGGCAGAGCAGGAGGAGGTGGCTGGTGCTCCCTGCCCTGTGCTCAGCCAGGCTGAGAGGGGATTTCCAGGGGCCCATTCACAAACACTCCTTTGGAGATGCACACACACATATGTATATATATATACACACACAGATGTGTATGTATATGTCTTTATTTCTGTGGAATTTGTGGGGATGGGCTCTGATGAGCTGCTGCTCCTGGGGGTGCTGGAGCAGCAGGGCAGGGTGTCCCCTCCGTCACCTCTCTGGGTGTCCCCATGGATGCTCTGCCCACTTTTACCCCAGCACCCTCCCAATTCCCCCACAACCTTCCAACCATCCCAAGCAGATAATTTTCATATCAAGCTAAAATTGCCACATTTTCTGGTGCCTGTAAGTGAAGGGCTGTGCTTCCTTCTCTCAGGAATGGGATGCAGCATTCCCTCTCCTTGCTCTGTCCCTTCATGCACAGCACAGAGTCCTCTGAGGAGCTCACTGCTGTACTCTCATTCCCTTTGAATCTCTGTTTACCATCTCTTATCTCCTGATGGGGTTTTTTAAAACACTATTTGCAGTAAATATACCCAACTTGAAAAAGAGTTGAGGTGCACATTAAAAAAAAAAGAAGCCTGAGTTATATAAAATTAATGCACGTGTCAGCTTTCATCTAATGGCAATTAAAGCACCTCATATAAACAAATCATTAATAGAAAACCCTGGATGAAAGCTGTGTTTTCAGTATCTCACAGCCTCTGTAACCTCACTCATGAATTATCATCCCTGATCTTTCCCAACCTTCCCATATCTTCTCTTATAGACAAAAATGATTAATTGTCTTGTGACCAGGAGGTACCTCAAAGGCCTCATCGTGCCCCTCACCCACTGCCAAGCGGAAGAAATAATATTAATGATATTTAAAAACAGCTCTGGTGCTGTGGCTGTGTGAGAGCCCCCACAGGGTGAAGAGGCTGCAGCCCCTGGAGGTGCTGGGGGTAAAATCCAGACCCAAAGCTGCCCCCAGGGGAATGGGAAACACCCAGGTGGCTCCAGGCTCATCCTGGGCACCCTCTGGGCACACGGCTGCTCTCGGGGTGGATTTTAAAATCATTTTTAGTTCTAAGTGCCTCAGTGGGACAAGGACCATCCCCTTCCAGCAGTCACCCCTCACCAGCTCATGGGAACATCTCCCCCACTGGGCTCCAGCACCTTGGCTCGGCCTTTCCTCAAGGTGCATCCAACACTCAATAAAAATAATTCCCAGGATAAACCCTTGCCTCTCCAGCCCCTTTGGACATCTGGCAGCATCTGGAAGAGCTGCTGAGAACCATGAGCAGCCATGAGGAGAGACCTGGCAAAACACAGGAACAAATCCCTTTTCTTTTTAAACTGGTTTATTCTACACAAATCTTTTAAACAACATTCATAAAACATTAACTACAAACATGTGCTAATATGGGGTAGGTTTCTTTCTTTTTATTTTTTGTTATTCCAACAATCAGAAATTCACATTTTGAAAGGATAGGCATACTTTTAAGAGACACATTCACTTAACTTCCAGATACAAAATTTTGAGGGATTATAAATCACTTACAAGGAGCAGATGTAAAAAAAAAAAGTAACAATTTTAAGCTTCAGGATCTGATTTCAGCATTGAATTGAACAGCTGCTTTTGGACCACTGGCTCTGCTGCTCTGCCCAGGGTGCCCAGCAGGCCTGGGCACCTCCCAGGACCGATTTCAGAGCCACACACAGCTCTGAGTGGAGAGCCTGGAGCACAGCAGAAAAAAATAGGATTGCAAAGCTACCACCAGCGCTGCAGCCTCTTATTGAATCTTTCTAGTGCGTACAGACACGGAGAGGGTGCATCCCACCCCAAAAACCCATGGGCAGACTGTTTTCCATCAACAATGGAGCAAATGCCAGCTGTGACAGGGCCTGGCTTTGGAATCTGCTGAGCAGGGTGATGGCAGCAAGCTTGGAGGTCCTGCTTCAAAAACAATTACCCGAAACGGCCAAAATTCAAGCCTCCGCCCCGGTGCTCTTATGTGGAGCCAGCTCCAAAATCCACCCATCCGAAAGCAAATATTTGGCTTCATCCTGCTGGATCTCAGGGCAGGGGAGGGGGAGTGGGGTAATTTCCTAATTGCCCTCAGTCTCCCCAGAAAAATCCTGCCTCTGGCTCTAACGGGTTTAAATGGCTGAAACAGGATACGCTGGGAAAGTTCAGGCCTGGGGAAGCGGAGCTCTTTCCCGAAAGGATCGGGCTGAAAGCCGGGCTCAGGAAGCTTGGCCAGGGCCCACCTGAGGGGGAGCATCACCTCAGCGCAGGAACCTGCTCCAGTAAACAACTCATCTTACTCACCACGATAAAAATCTACAAAAAGGACCAAAAAAGAGCTGCATTCCCTGGTAACAGCCCCTGAGTCTTGTCTCTAAAGCTGCAGGAGGGGCTGTGTTTGCAGGCGGGCTGAGCGGGGTGCAGGGAGAGCCTTGGGGAGTAGGGTGCAAAAAGAGGAGAAACTTTGGAGGTGCAAAGCCTCCTCCAGAGCCACGTTTTGCAGGAAACAGGAGGGATTTTGTGTTATTCCTCTGGGCTGGGAAGGCGGATCCCAGCCCTGCACCTGTAGGGTTTCATCACCGAGGGTCATGGGCAGAGGGGACACGGGGACACTCGCAGGGTCTGGCCTTGAGGGGAGCACCGAGGGCACGGCAAAATATTTGCAAAAATAAAACTACAAAGCCCCCCCGAGAGGGGCTGTGCCAGTGGTCCCACCAAAGCCCAGTGATAACCTCCCTGTCACCAGGGCTTAAGTTCACAGAGTGGCCGTGCCAGGCAGATAAAGGACCTGGAGCAATGGCACAGGCTCACCCCTGAAGGACAAAGGCCTTTCAGAGCTCCATCCACCTCTGTGTTCGCTTTCCTGCCCAGGGCTCTCAAAAAGAAAGGAAACACCTTTCTTTTGGTTGTTACTTGCCCATGGAGCCCCTCTCTGTGCCAGTTCCTTGTCTGATGTTACTCAATGCACCCTGGAGTAGGATTTAAGGAGCACTTCTCAACCCCACCATTGTCCCCAAAGGTTACGAGGGTGCTTGTAAGCACCCAAAAGAGCTCAAGTCCACACTTGATGGCATAAAGGTGGAGGGAGGGAGCTGCTCTGCTTGCCTTGGCTTTCAAAGTCATTCGAATTTTCTGCTTCTAGCTGGAAAAGGAGAAGCAGACTCTGCCAGCTTGGAAATAATTGAAGGTAAAATAATCAAAGTGACCCCAGACAAAACTGTGGTGTGCAGGAGCACACAAAAGCCAGGAATGGTTTGCAGTGAAGAATGGAGAGATGGCAAAAGTCTCGGCTGGATCTGTCCCCCTGAATTCAGAGGATTTGATCCGAGTTCACCTCTACCCAGGTGAGGATTACGTGGCCACTTATAGGTGCAAGTGTCAGCCAGGGTTCAAATCAGGAGCAGGTGAGATCCTCAGCACCAAATCAGGCTGCCCAGAGCAAATTGCTCTTGGCACCCACGTACCAAAGAGAGCCTCTGCTGCCATGCAGAACATTCCCATGGCGCTGCCAGGGAAGGAAGGGCAGGAATGTCCTTGCCCAGCTGCTGGCCACCACCCTGCTGGCTCTTCCAGGCAGCTCAGCCCAGGGGGTGATGAAGCTCCTTGAGTGGCAGCCCCAAAGCACCACCACGGTGGGAGGCAGAGCCAAAACCTCCTGAAATTGGGGGTCTCCAAACCCCACGGTACCACAGCAGACCTGCAAAAGCCCTCTGTTTGGCTGGCAATTAGGATGTGGCCTTCCCACAGCTCCCACAGCAGAGAAATGTTAGGAAACCTCAACCCCGGCTGGAGAGAGGCCAGAATTTGATAAATTTAAGCTCTGTGACTTCGAAACTTGTGTTTGCTTGGCTGCAGGACCTCGGGGCAGGGCAAGCTGCAGTGAAGCAGCTCCTGCATATTGTTCCAAAACTGAAAAAAGCACTAAGCCATGAATCATGGCATGTCCCAGACAGCTCCCAAAGCCCTGCTCCCCTTCCCATCACAAACACAGCCATCCCAGGAGCCCTTCCAGCTCAGCTGTCCCTCTCCATCCCTGAGCCAGAGCCAGAGGAGTTAAACCCAATGCCTCACTCTGCAGTAGAACAATAATAAAAGAAAAAAGGAAAGAAAAAAAAAAAAGCAGAAGAAAAGACAACAAGTTGGTTTTGAACACCCTTAAGGTAAAGATTTAAGAGGCAGCCCCAGCCCAGCCCCGAGCAGGAGCTGCTGGGACATGTCCTGTGCTCACTGCACGCTTACATAAGGCTCTGCAGCTCTGCAAACACCACGGGCTGAAGTGGGGCCCTCCCCACTCCCTTCCACCCCGGGGGCTCAGCCCACTCCCCTTTCCTTGCTGGCTCCCAAAGCTGGCCGAGCCTGAGTGCTGGGCTCCCCCTTCCCTTCCCTTCCCAGAGCAGGGAGAGGGGCAGGACTCACAGCCTGGCACTCGCAGGGGAGGGAGAAGGTTGGGTTTTTTGTCAGAAAACTGAGTAAAAGGCAGCCCCAAAGGGGATGGGGGTGTTCTGGGCTAGGACAAGATGACCCTGATGGGGCAGGGGGAGCTTTGGGATGAAGCTTTTTGCTGCAGTTAGGGACCCATTGGCATCACACCACCAGACCACCAGAGGCTGAGCAGAGGTTTTGAGAGCAGTGCAACCCCTCTCTGCTCACAATCCCACCTGTCACGTGCAGAAATTCTTGCAAACTGCCTGGTGTTCAAAAGGGCCAAACTAGACCCACAGCAGCAGCAGCAGCAATCTGACAAACAAGCCCCAAATACTCCCCGTATGTTGACACTGCTCCAACCTTTGCCCTTCCCATTCCCATCTGTGTTTGCTGATGAGGAGACCTTTCATGGCTGCTGTCCAAACCTGCAGAATTTGTCCTTGTGTCCACCAAGGGCAGGATTTTGACCAGACAAAGACACTGAGTGTGGTTTTGGTAAGCTGGTACCAGACATGCGTCTGGGATAGGATGAGGGGTGGCTTCCTCTGACTAGGCTGGGGTGGCCAAGAGAGCACCTCATCACTCCAAATCTCCTAGAGGGTCAATAATAAAAGCCATGGGGAAAGATCAAAATGCAGGGGGGTGCACATGCGGGTACCAGCACCCCTTCTGGGCTGGCACAGCTGCTCTGATGCCACTGCAGGGTTAAGCACCCCTTGCACTGAATGCAGGCTGCTCCCAGTGCATTTGCAGGCATCTGGAGCAGTTAAGGCAAGTGGAATTCTGTAGGAATTTGGGATTTGAACCATAAATCACCTTAGGAGCAAGGGAGGCTTTGCCACACAAAGTCTGGGTTCAGCCATCAGTGGGCTCTGCTGTGCAGGCACTCACTCAGCCCAGATGGGGTTTGGAGACAGCTCTGCTCATGCTCCGCCTGCTCTGAAGAAGCTACTTCTGGAATTTAAACCTCTCACAATCTCTCCTTTGGGGGGCATTAAGGTCCAAAGTATGATTTAATGAACTTCATCAAACTCCAATGTGAATTAATGCCCCAAAACTCACAGAAGGAGTTACAATGAGGAGTTTTTTATTTCCTTCAGCTGTCAGAGGGCTTTGAAGCTGCCCCACTTCCAAGGCTCCCACCCAAAAAGCACCAGATTAACGACCTGCCCTAGGCTAAGTCTGGCAGATCCCAGCTGGAGCCGGGTTAGGTGGTTCAAGCCCTGCCTCCTCCTGCAGCTTCATCTGCCTCACGTGGCTCCCCAAACACAGGGATGGCTCAGAAGAGCCAAAGCAGAGGATGCAATACAGGCCATGAAGGGTGCGAACAGTCATGGAAAAGTGTATCCAAGAAAGAGACAAGTAGACATCTCATTTTATATCATAAACAGACACGTCACAACACACCAGGTAATTTTCCAGCTCGTACAGGGACAGAAGGGCCACGAGACCACAAGACCTTACAATGCATCAGCCAAGAAGGGTTAAAAACAGGGCCAGAGGGACATGCAGGGTCCTGAGCCTATTATGTACAAAAGTCCCACTGCTGCCTGTGGGAGGGGCCTCCACTGAGCCCAAATTTCCACAGCAAAGACATGTCCAGGTGTTACAAACCCCCACACTCGCCCGGAGACCAAGGGATGTTCCCCACGACACATGTCCCTCTTCAGACATCTGAGATTTTACTGCCAGGTGAACAAAATGAAAATCTGATGAAGGACGGGTTTGCAGTCAGAATAAATGTGAGTTTTGTTTCTTGCTCTCTCCCAGGAAAAGGCACCCCCATCCCAGCTGGCTTCTTGTTCACACAGGGACCCACCAGGGCAGGAGAACTTCCCTTCTCACTCATTAGCCATGCTCATTAGCAATCCCTGGAGATGATCATAGAATCATGGAATGGTTTGGGTTGGAATGGACCTTAAAGCTCATCTCATTCCAGCCCCTTGCCATGGGCAGGGACACCTTCCACTATCCAAGGTTGCTCCCAGCCGTGCCCAACCTGGCCTGGAGCACTTCCAGGGATGGGGCAGTCACAGCTTCTCTGAGCAATTTGAATTTCTACAATTTTCTGTGGGCAGTGATGGATTCCTGCCTGAACTGGGGTTGAGCTCTGCTGCCACTCAGTGTGGTGGGTACCCACTGGCTGTGTGATTTCCTTGCACCCTCTCCCTCTCCCCCCAGATCAGCACTGACCCTGCACCAGCTCAGTGACAACACACGGGCTACGAGTTAAACACTACTGGGGCTGTCAAACCCTTTGGAAAACTGGGATTCCCCACCAATACTGACTCTTGCTTATTGCTGCATAATACACAACTGGCCCTCAAAAACAGCAGAGGCACCCTGTGCCCTGAGCCAGCAGCATCCCCACACCTGTGGGTGCCCCTGAGCCCAGCAGGGAAGCCACTTCCCAGCGCAGAGTTGATCCATGACACAGGGGCTCTGTCCCAGCCCTGTGTGCCTCAAAGCCACCAAAGTGCCCTTTTTGGTGGTGATCCCAAGGATTTGGCCCCAGAGAGCCGGGCACTGTGGGCTGTGCAAGGAGCTGCCCCTCTCTTTTGCATCTCAAAAGCCCAATCATTAATTGCTGGCTGGGAAAACGGAGGTGGAAAGCGGCCAAGGGACCTGCTGGTCTCATCCACGCGTTTTTAAGGCATATTTTGCAGGAAGGGTGTGCTCCCATGTGACTCCGATGGCTGGAGCCAGCCGAGCTCCCTGTCATCCCAGCTGCAGCTCCCTGGGGGTGTGGGAGAGCAGCGGGAAAGGAGGAAAGAGGAAGATGAAAGCGGGACTCGCTGACATTTATTTGGTTTGTGCATCAGACTAAAGCAGCGTTTCCTCCTTCGGATCTCTGGCTCCAAAACAGCCCCAGGTGCTGGACGGGGACGGGGCTGTCTCACTTGGATGTGACACCCGAGTGACACTGGAGGAGGAGGAGGATGGACAGCTGCAAGGTTCAACAAGTTCCATCCGTGGCCTGCTTGGAAAAGGCATTTATTATCTGTAAACCTCTGTCGTGACGTATAGAAAACTGGGAGAGGAGCGGGAGCTCGATCAAGTTTGAATCCTGGTGAGAGTTCTCCTTACAAAAATGGTTAGGGGGGGAAAAAAAAAAGGTGGCTTTGAAATCAAAACTGTCCAAAAAAAAAAAAAAAAAAAGAGCATTTCTGCTAGTTAAAAGCCTTTAACTAGAAGAAATGTTTGTGTTTTCTCCTTTACAAACATAGTGCATCTGCGATCACTGGGAATTTCGGTCCGTCTGGGAAAGGGCCTGTGCTGGGGCTACGAGAGGCTGCTGGTGTCCTGGGAGAGCCGGGAGCGGCGTCACATGTGTGCTTCGGAGGCCGGGCAGCCAGGCAGCAGCTCCCCGTTCACCACCGCCTCCGACACCAGCATCTTGTCTTTGCCAGAATCCAGGCGCTGCTTCTTCAGCATCCTCTGGTGGACCAGCGGCACCACGGAGAGCACCAGGCCGCCGATGATGGGCGGCACCCCCGCAAAGTAAAAGGCCGCGTCGTAATTCCCAAAATAATCATTGAGGTATCCTGGAAGAGAAGAAGGGTGACGTTAGAGCCTCGTCAGTCTAATGAGCTTGTTAGTGTAATGACCTGCTTGTTCCCTCCTTCGAGTGCAGCTTGCGTCACCCACCAGATCTGGGGAGATTTGGGTTTTTAAAATAATCTTTTTTTTCCGTTTGCATCTCTTGGCGTTTTTACGCCTTGGATTAAGAGATGTGTGCAGCCAACACTGTGTACCAAGGGAGTGGAGAAGGAAAGCCTCAGCCGTCCTTCCTGTTTCTCCAGAACAGGACACAACCGTCCACATCCCAGACAATCCCAAATGCAAGCTGAGACGTGTTAAACCCAACACCTCTTCCCAGAGGCTTGCCAGCCAGGAGGCAATGGGAAAGTGAGCAGGGGCTGTTCCTCTGCTGATTGTCTCCATTTGGAAGCCCTGCCCTTATGGATGTTTTATCTCCAGCTGTGAAATACATGCTGCCAGTTACAAACAATAGCCAAGCCTTAAAACCCAACAAGGTTCTACATTTGTCTGGCAAGTTCTAACACAGCCAGGCATCCTTGGAGAATAACACATAGCCATTGATCAGCTCTGGAAAATCCCTCTGAGTGTCTCCTGCGTGGATGCTTCCCTGGGGATTAGACCAATGCAAAAGGCCCCTTCACCCAGCAAGACCCACTCAGGGGGTCCTGGTGCAGCATCCTCCCAGTGAGAGGTGTGTGACCCCCATGTTCCGTTCCGAGGGTGTTAGAGTGAACTTTGCTGCTGGAAGTAGAGAGATCAGAGGTGCTTATCCAGCTTTGGCTTAGTGCTGCTGATGCAGAGGTCCTGCTGCTCAGGAGCAGAGCCCTGGCAGAGCCTCTGGCAGAGCCCTCGCTGTTAAGGACGCTGGGGTTGTTGCTGTGCTGGAACACAGACCCAGGTCTTGTGGAGGTTCAGGTGTCTCCATCTCTAACTTCAATTCCATCTAAAAGGACTTCTAGAAAATTATTATCTGCCAATTTTTAGCTCAGCTGCAAACAGAAATCACTTAATGTGACCTTGGCTCACTGTTCCCCCAATGACCACCTTTCATTAGCCTTGAGAAAAGCCCTGAGATGGCACAGGACATAGCATGGAGTGATGCCACCCCCATTCCTCAACTTCCACATGACCTGATAAACCAGAGAACTCAAACCAGTGCTTCTGGTCTCACACCAAACCACCACCACAGGTGAAAGATGCCACCACCAAGTCCCTCCCACCCACTGGGTCCTGGTCCAGCCCCGTGGTGTTACCAACCTGCAATGGGCGTGCCCGCAGTCATGGGCACGGCCATCAGCCCCATGAGGTACCCTATGGCCTGGGACGCCTGCATGGGCCCCACCAGCTCGAAGGCGATGGGGGCCATGATGGTGGTGAAGAAGCCGTCACAGAGGCCAAGGAAGAGGCAGATGACAATGACGCCCTCGAAGCCTCGGCACTGCGGGATCATCATGCACAGGAGGCCCAACAGCATGAAGGACGCAACCTGGGGGAACAGAAGTGGGCATAGAGTGGGGATGGGCAGCAGAAGAGTCATGGAGATGACACTGAACAGGTCAATGTCACTGCTTCCTCCCCTGGACCCAGCAAAGCCATCCAGCCACCGCTCCTGTCTCGGAGAGGCCCTTAAGAATAACCTTTTAAGAAGGGTTAAGAAGGATTAACTGCTGGATTAGCTGCTAGATTTCAGCAGTTTGTTCTTCAAAAACCACAAGGAGGTTAAAGGGTGTCGGTAGTTTGGGAAGAGTGGCTACCAGGGAGTTTGATTGCTGAACAGACACCAGTCCCTGCGGTCAAGTGTGTAACTCCTCTTACACACTTCTGCAGTCAATTTTCTTCCCTCACAGCAGACAATGGTTGGTAAAGGCTTTGTGATTGACAGTTATTAAGCAGAGCGTGTACACCCATGTAGAGATACCATCCCTGTCCCACTGTGGTTGGCCAGCACCTCCATGGAGGGCTGGGCACACCGTACCTGCAGGTAAATCACACTGTACCTGCAGGTAAATCTTCTTCAGCCCGGGAATGCAGTCGCCAATGCGGCCTGAAACCAAGCGCCCCAGCCCCGACATGGCCCCGAGGCAAACCAGGAGGATCCAGTCCTTTTTGGTTTCCTGAAATCGCTTCTCCACATATTTGACCTAGGATGGAAGGAAGAACACAAGGACATGAAGCTGTAGTACATTCATCTCTCTCATCTCCTGAAAAGGGACAGGATTTCCTGCAGAGGGCTCATGGATCTGGGCTGGTTGTGTGACCCTCGTGTCCACACCACACTGACCTGCACCCTCCACCCACCCCAAACTCAACAGGACCTTCTTCTCCTCCACTCCTGCTACTGGTGCTGGTCCTTAGGAGTGCTGGGAAGTGACCCTGGCCTACCCTGGCACAGAGGGCACAGAGAGGACACACAAAACCATATCTATCACAATTCCTGTTTAAAGGATGTGCACCAGTTTCTTGGCTTCAAGGCTTTTGGTGCCTCTGCCCCTACTGCCCATCCCCACCTTCCCACCTCCTCCTCACTCTGGGCAAAGGGACCTCCCTCCCCTTCCAACCCCAGCCACGGCTCTCACCAGGTTCATGTAAGGTACGAGGTATCCCAGGACAGCAGTAGCGATCCCAAAGGCCCAAATCCGATAGGTCTTTCTCCGGAAAACCCTCAGGTTGAAATACTTGCGGGTCTGGGCCCAGCACTGCTGCCTCATGCTCCGGCTGCCCATCTTGTCGTGCCCGTCGTGCTGAGAGTCACATGAAGGCGTCAGGATGGGCCGGTAGGTCATGGACAAGAAGATCTGGATGAGCATTAAGGCACTGAGTACTTGGAAAGTGTGTGCCAGCCCGATGGCACCCCCGACCATCTTCAGGAAGAAGGGGAGCGGCACGGAGATGAGGCAGCTGCCCCCGGCCACGATGCCGTTGGCCAGGCCCAGGCGGCGCTTGAAGTAGTGACCGAGGATGACCAGCGAGGGCTGGAAGGCAAAGGAGCTGCCACAGCCAAAGAGGATCCCATATGTGAAATAACGGACTTCCAGGGACCTGGAATGACACAGGGGAGTGGGGATGTGAGGCAGAGGTGAGGAAGCCTCCTCCCCCACGGTCCTGCAAAGGCCTGGGTCTCACGTGCCACAGGTACTGCACAGACAGTCTGACCTCGAGGAGCTTATCCCCTCACCAAAACCAGGATAATCCTCACCTAACAGCTGGCACATGAAATCTGCAGCAAAATGAAGTGGAGCTGGGAAGTGCTTTCTGCCACCAGGAGAAGGCAGCAGCCAACCTGGCCTCCTTGGGAAGCTGGCCTTACTTCAATGGTTATTAAATTACAGCAAACAAGATTTTCTAAGGTAGGGATGGTGGGATATTTTTAGCTAGAATTCCTTTTAATTTTTCCAGTGAAAGGACTGACTGAAAACATTCTCCACCCAGTGTTTGGAAGCAGAAGGCACCAACCCTGCTGGTTATTAGGCACGCAGGAAGGAAATGTGGTGTTTCTGCCCAGGCTCCAGGCTGGTTAATTAAGCTCTTCTTCTTTAAGCTCTTCTGGGAGCTTTAATTAGACAGTTAATAGATCTCATCTGTACCTTACATTGGTGGCTGCACTCGAAGAGGGAGTGAAGTGGCTGCTCTACAGAGCAGATGGAGAGTGCTGAAAGCTCTTGGAAGGAGCTGCCTCCAAATTTCCAGCCCAATTTTCTCAACAGAGGCAGCTGACAAAGGAGCCTGGATTTAGGCAGTACAAACAACCTGTTGTGTTTCTTTCCAGATGAAGGAATTTTTTTTCTTCATTCCCATGCAATCCATCCAGCTGCAGAGGTCTGCCATGGGATACTGCCTGGGAGGAAAGTGTGAGGAAAACCTTTGGGCAGCTCAGGGTCTTGTACAAGCAGGGTCTGTGCTCCAATCCTCGGAGCAAGACTGAGTGCTGCTCCCAAAGCAAGTGAGGAAACAGCAGCCCACATCTCCCAGAGCAGCTGGAAGTTGGGAAAACCTTTACAAGCACATCATGCCTTCCATTACACGCTCATCCCTCCGGCCTGCCAAGCAGAAAGCAGAACGCGGCTGCTGTGCCTGACGGCGCCGAGACGAATGACCATCATGAAAGGCAATTTCCATCCACTCCAGAGCAAAACCACATCAGAAGCCCCCTCTGTGGGAGCCAGGCAAGCAGCTGGGCCTTGTAGGCTGTGCCCGACCTCCCACGCACCAGCCCTGGCCTGGTCACAGCAGCCCTGGTGCCACAGGCAATGCCACAGTTCCCATCTGCTCCCAGTGATGCTCAGACACCCCTGCATGAGCAGAGCCTCCTTTCAGCCATGAGCTGAAAAAAAAAGAGCCAGGATTTCCCAGCCTGCTTATTGGGAATCAGCCAGCAGCTGTCTGGGGGAAGGGTTGCATTGTCCCCTCAGATTGTGAGGTTGCCAATGGATAATTGTTTCTCCTGGGACAAGGAGGTCTCCCTCCTGCTTCCAGCTCTCAGTGGGAACAGCCCTGGTTCATCCTTGCTGGTAGAAGTTTGGGGGACTCCTCTGTGCAGCAGTAAGCAGGCAGAAATTGTGTAGGGGAAGGAGAAGCAGATGAAAAGGGGCCCAACCCTCCCTGCAGAACACTTCGTGCAGAGGAGGAGGGCTGGGAGGGCTCTGGGGGCCTATGAAGACAACCCTGCTGAGCTGGCCATCATCTCCCATTCCCCATGCTAAACCAACCCCCTTAAACTGGAGGGAAGCTAAAGCCTTAACTGGGATTTCTCTTTTGTTGAGAGCACCCAAGGTCTCTGGTGGCTTGAGCTGGTTACAAGTGCAGGAGACACCTCAGAGCAAGGCAGCAGAGAGGAAAAGCCTTGCACTGACCCCGTCCAGCCTTCCCCAGAGCTTTGCTTTTCAGCACAGTTGGTTTCTTTAGTGGTCTACATACAAAATTCCTAATATTTTGAGACAAGAGGCACTGAGCTGGGCACTGGGGTGTTACCACAGAGTCTTGGTGGCTCAGGGGGGTTTTGGAGCAGCTCAGTGCAGTGCTGGGAACTGCTGCTCCTCCATTTGGACAAAATAAACCCATTTTAGAGAATCTAGGAGATAAAGGGGGGGTGAATCTTGATCCAGCTCTGCCTGAGCCCACCTAACCAGGTTGTGTCCCTCTGCACCAGTGCTTGTATCACAGGGGAATGATCTCCAGCTGCGGTGGAGGGACTTGCCAGGAGGGACCCAAAAAAAGCTTCTCCATTGTTCAGGGAGAGCTGGAGCCACAAGCCCCGAATTTCAGGAGCAGCCTTCACCATCCGGGTGGAGCGCTGCCAAATCCCACAGCCTCCCTGCTCTTCCTCCGGCCCCGCGCGCTCGGCTCTGCCGGCGCAGCTTCCCTCGCTGTGGTCCAGCTGCAAAGGGGCTCCTTTCTCCCTTAAAAGGCAGCCAGAGGAATGTGGTCCGAGAGTGAGAGGCAGGAAATGGGGATCTCAGTCCTGTAGCTCTCCTGGAAATGATGTTTCTCTCTGCCTGCACTGTTTGATTTTTTCTTCTTTTTTGAAGCCCAACACAACAAACCCCTGGCAGCAGTGTAGTCCCACAAGCCCTTTTTCTTTGCACAAACATTTTACAATAGAGGGAGCAAAAAAGTCCAAGTTTTGTTGATTGGAAAGAAAGCAGGATCACATGGGAAACTCCTGTGATTTGCTAGGGCACAGCTTCCCTCAGGACCCACTGCACCTTTTGCCATTATCTTTGGAAGCAGAAAGGGTGGCACTTGAGGAGGAAGCTGCAGACGCCAGTTCCTTCCCAAGATGGTTTTGGCAACCCAAAAATCCCATCTGCAATTAGCCACGGTCCTGGGGGGTTTTCCTGGGGATCAGAACTGATCCCCAGTCCCAGCATGATGGGGGGGGGATCCCACAGATGAGGACTTGGGGATCCAGGGAAGCAGGGCTGGGACGAGCACAAGGGTTTCACTGACCAGGAGGAGCACGGCAAGGCAAGTCGCCCTCTGGAAAACTGGTGTGTATTTGCTTTAAAAACCCACTCCTTGAAGCATTTTAATTAAAACAATATTGATTTTAACTGAAATCCAACCCAAAGCAATGTTTTTATTCAGAAAAGTGGGGCAAATGCTGCTTTGGAAGTGTCTCCATGGAGCCTCTGAGACTGTGTTTAGTAAGTGTCACATAAATTACCCCAGAGGTGACCTCTTTTTGCTCCCACAACGATGCCAACTCTGATTTCTGGGCTGGAAAGACACACAAGGTACACCTGCCATTGGCCAGTGCCTGCCAGCAGAAATTCATGGCATGGGATCAGGCATGGAAAACAAGGAGCAGCAGTGGCCCTGCGTTGCCGCAGACACACGAGCCAGGGCAGGAACACCACAAACTGCTCCAAACCCCGTCTGCCTTCCCCTCCCTGTCTGCCCTGCACAGAAACTCCCTCTTAGGCGCAATCCACCAAATATTATTTTAAGCATTAATTTACTTTCAGCACCAAATGTGAAAATGGTTGCAAAGGAGAATAGTTTTCTCTGTGAGTGCCTCGCTGGAGCTGCCCGTGAGAGGCACACCAACCTCTCCTGCTGTTTCAAAGACCAAATGAGGGACCTGAGTGCTGAAATCCCAGAAAATACAGTCCCTTGCTTGGGTAAAATTCGCTCTCATTTTACCTAAGGACACAAGGTTCAGTTTGGAGGGGAACAGGCTGAGCACACGTGGGCTGTAGGATGCCAGGAGATCTCTCATGCAGATGGGCACCACCTGCTTTGCCCCCAGAGGTAGCAGCAATGTGTTGGCAGGGAGATTGCAGGGAACAGGGAGGAAGAGGAGCTCTCCAAGGAGCTGGATGTGCCCTCCACAGCCTTACTTGGTGAAGGAGCTGGAGAGGAGCCCGATGAAGGCGATGGTAGCTCCCATGGCCGCCGTGGTCCTGCAGCCGATCCGGTCGGTGAAGATGCTGACGATGGGAGAGCAGAAAAAAATCATCCCCATGGCCAGGGAGCCGACCCACGCTGGGGAGAGAGAGGAGAAAGGTGATGGTCAGGGTGGGACACCCAACAGGGGCAGGGGAAATCAGTCAGGGACCAAGCGCAGCTTTGGAGGTGTCTTGGCAGAGAGGCAGCCCCATCACACAGTTAATTAGCCGTGTTAAGTGCTGTTAATTAACAGTGCAACTCATAAATGACACGGAGAGCTGGTGGCACTGCAGATGGGGCACAATGATGGAGTATGGACAGGTTTTTCTTGCATTCCTCTGTGCTGGGTTACTGTGTCCCAGGGAAGGCACCAAGTTTCAATGCTCTTTCCAAACAACCTTGGCTTCAAATGGGAAGATGCTCCACTGACAGCACTTCCATCAGGAATCTCCACAGCCAAAAGCCCCCTGAGCTCCTCCAAACCCTTTGCTCCCCAGCTTTGGCTAGGGAGAGGTTCCTGTCCAAAGCCACAGCCCTGCATCCCCAGGGAGCACATCACCCACCCCTCCCTCACTCCCCAGAGTCAGCACTCCTCACCTTCCCCTCTCCCCACGGTCAGTGAGGATTCCTCGTTGTGTCTGAGCTGATGGAGACACATGTTTATCCCAGGTTAAATTCCACCCTGACCTTGCCAGGCAATGCCCAAGTGGGACCATCATGTCCTGTCTCCTTCCAGCCCACTGTGGAGAAAACCACTGTCTGTCTGTCTGTCCTTTTTCCAGAAATGTTAATTATTCACAGATTTTTTTTTTCTTTTTCAGCCCATCATGAAATCGTTAAGGTTAGAAAAGCCTTTTAAGATCCTCAAGTCCAACCATTCCCCCAGCAGTGCCAAGCCCAGCACTAACCCATGTTCCCAAGTGCCACATCGACATGGTTTTTCATTCCCTCCAGGGACAATGATTCCATCGCTGCCCTGAGCAGCCTGTGCCAGTGCTTGACCAGCCTTTTAGTGAAGAAATTTTTCCTAATATTGAATCTAAACCTCTCCTGGCACAACTTGAGGCCATTTCTTTTTGTCCACCATCTTCTCCCTGCCCTCCACCTTCTCCTTTTAATGGTTTGTGTGACTATTTTGGGGAGAAAACACAGGATTTCAAGAAAAGAAAAGTGGTAAGAAAAAGAATTTCTAAGGAGAAGCAAGAGGTCCCCTGGGTGGTGTGTGGGGCAGAGTGGGATGGACAGAGGGACAAGGGGTTCCCAGCCCCACCTGGCACCAAAGTGGGGAGACCTCCTGGAGCATCTCCAAGCTCCAGGTGCTGGCTCTGGTTTGCCAAGCACAACCCCAGGACACGTGGTCCTTTTACCTTTTTTTATCCCTTTTTTAGGTTTGGTTTGGGTTTTCTTTGCACCCAGGCCAAGGGCTCTGCAAACCTTTTCATCACATCCCTGCATAAAAACACCCTCATAGTCCTTCCAGGGCTGTGAGATCTTCAAAAAATAGCCAGGTCCCTATTAAAAGCAAATCCCAGCTATAGAACAGCCTCTCCAACCTCTGCCTTTCACAAAAGGACTACACAAAGAAGCCCTCCCCAGGCTGGGAAGAGCTGACCCTTCCAAATTAATTATAAGTTCACAAGTACCCAATTTACTTCAAAATCTTCCTTAATAAATGCAGAGTGGAGCAATAAAATGAAAAGCAAGGGCTGAGCAGGAACCTCGTGGGACCGGTTGGACTCTCGTCTCAACTCCAGGCAAAAAGAAGGGAGAGGGGAAGGGAGAGGACCCCCCTCTCCAGCTGATTTTCTTGGTTCTGAACACAAGGCACAGTGTAACGAAAGTCCCTCTAATAGGATTAGGTGGCACGGATCCAAAGAGCCGTCCAAAACAGCTCCGAGAGGGGGAGAGGGGTGGGAGCCACGCCAGGATGGGAAAGGCTCGTTAAATTGGATAATATACTTCCAGAAATGTTCCTTCTACTCCAGCCAAGGCAGTAAAACGTTAGATGGCCCCGTCATGTTTGAAGTTTGTTATTTTTGGAAATTACTTTAAGAAATGCGGAAATAAAAGCATAAAGCGGAGTATTAAATTTAAAGGGCCAGATTCGGATCTTAATAACCCGGGGATTTACATGCCAATAGGCAGGATCAATCTCTGGCCCCAAAAATGCACACTCACCTGCAGAGATCAAAGCAAACCCAGGGCAGGAGGCTCAGCAACAGGCGCTTAAAAGTTCCTCCAGCTCTGGGTTTGTAAAAAGGAGATATCTCTCAATTAAAATTGGTAAACACACACACACACACACAAAAAAAAAAAAAAAAAAAAAAAAAAAAAGAATTCTGTGGCAAATTGCTCTACCTTAGAGAAAGAGCTTACCACAAGCAATGAATAAAAATAGGCTTGGGGAAGAACATCCAGTTAAAATTAGTAAGAACAATAGCCTCACTTCCAGAGCGGGGTTTTGTCTTCCCAGCGCTTCCCAGTGAAGCCCCGGGAAGCCGGGAGGGCAGGGCCAGCTCCAGCGCTGGAAGGAAACCTCGGCAAAATCTGGGGGCAGCTCAAACTCGCCTCGGTGCCGGCTCCCATCCCGGCTGATTCACACCAGAACACCCCCGCAGCGAGGGGAGGCACGGCTTTCCCCCTGTTTTATCCATGGTGATCTCCGTTCACCTGGGATGGGGCAAGGATGGAGGGAGGTGATGGCAGAAAAGCACAGGTTGGGAAAGAAATGGAGCTCAGGTGAAGGCTAGCCCCAGTCCCACCCCTTTGGGCATAGTCCTTGGATCAACTCCAGGAAAAGAAGCGTTTATTTTGGGCAATCTGTGGTGTTGAAGTTTCTCCTGAATTTTGCTGGATGTGAAGAGCAGAGGCAGCCATTCCTCCAGTGGAAACCAGGCAGGGCTCAGCACCTTCCCTCCTACAGCTTCTCCAGTGCTGGAGAAGTTACCCCTTGGTTTAAAGCCACAGTGGAAAAAAGGGGGGGAATTTCTGCTCCTGATTTCCAGAGGGTTTGGATGGGTTGGTTAATTCCCAGCCTGGCCACACCTCCCACCCTCTATGGCTGATAAGCTGGGTGAGATATGGAAACACACAGACAAGCCCCCACATGAGGCACAGAGTCTTATCAAGCACATCCTAAAAGAAGCTATGGAGAGAATCCAGCTGAGGATGGGGCTGGAAGAAGCTCAGGAGCTGCCAGAACTTTGACTGAGATCGGGTTAAGACTTGATTGTATTTTAGGGTGCTGTGAGTCCAACCAGCTCCTGGAAGCACCAGCTGAACCAGGCTGGTTTTGGAGCTGGGGGCCATGGGGGGACCTGGCTGGTGGCAGGGGTGTCCTGACAAAAACAACTTGACAGATGACATGCAAGAGATGTCTTGACAGAAACACAAAATGCTTCAGAAACTGTATTTCTAGATTAAGAAAACCACAAAAGGCATGAAAGCACTCTGCTTTTGATGACGGGAAATGCACATGACTTCTGATTTGGGGGTTGCTGACACGAGAGGTGACTCAAGGTGTGTTGTCCCTCCCTGACAGCCACCTCTCTGCTGACTTTATTTGGCACTGAGAGTTCCATTGAGCCAAGACCTGTCCATCCCTCCCTGCTCCCACCATAGTCCCTCCTGAAGGGATTGAAGGAGCCGAGGATCCAGGACCCCCCCAGGGCACACCCCCTGCTCCAGGGGGCTGGGGACAGCACCAGCCCCAGCTGCCACCCCAGCTCAAGCCACCTACAGAGCTAGTGGAACGTCCCTGGTGGTCCTAGGGATGCTCTGGGCCAGGGGAAGAGATCAGCGTGGGGCTGGTGCTGCTTTGCTGGAGCAGAGTTGTTGACCAGGGAGAACATTCCACCAGCAGCTCTCACACAAAGGGGAAAGCTCCAGCTAAAGCTCCACAAATTCTTCCTTCCCACTTTGACATAACAAAGGCAGCCAAGCTGGTGGCCCATGGCTGGTCCAAAGCAATACGGCCTTCAGCATGGACAGGGAATGCAGTGGTTGAAGTTCTCCAAGGGGAACAGTGATTCAATGGTCTAAGAGGTCACAGAATCATAAAATCAGAAGGGTTGGGGTTGGAAGGGACATTAAAGATCATCCAGTTCTACCCCCTGCCATGGGTAGGGACACCTTCCACTATCCCAGGGCTCTCCAAGTCCCATCTAACCTGACCTTGGACACTTCCAACTGCAACTACTGTTGCAGTAGCATGGCCAGGATGATCCATCCCCCCAGCACCACCCACCCTGGGTTCAGGACAGAGGGAAAACTGGTGAGGTGACCCATTTGCCCACCAACCCATTTGCCCACCAGCCCAACAGCACCAAGCTGTGTCCATAGTGGAGGAGGGACCAGGAATTCTTTGGTCACCTTCTCCTCCTCCTACCAGTGGATGACAAAGCTCGGGGGACGCTGAGGCAGAGGAGGGAGGTTGGGGGGCTCAGCTCCCCCTGCAGTGGGACTGGTGATGCTGAGGGGTCCCTGAGGGCTGTGAGCACCATGTCTGTGTGTTCGTGGTGGGCAGGGCCCCCAGGGTCAGTCCAGGTGGTCCCACCTGGATACCAGACCAACTTTCTTTCCAGCAGGACCATCCAACAGGATGACAAACTTCCCCTGTTGCTGGCATTTTTCTAAGCAGAAAAAGGTTTCTGAGAGCAGAGCAAGGTAGGAGCAGGAAGAAAATCTCACCACTCTGAGATGCAGATCCAAACCCCCCTGGTATTTAGCTCATTGTTCCAAAAAACATCATTAAAAAATCAGACAGCGGCACTTGAAGCCAAACCTATTTGTTCCTTTAAAAGCAAATCTCCAGGGAGAGAGGAGGAAGGGACGTCGCTCTCAGCTGTGCTTCCCCGCTGACCCAAATACCCCAGGCTGGAGGGATCAAGGGCCAGGAGGTGACCTCAGATCCGCCGCTGGAGGAAGTGTCTTCCCTCGCTTCCCGCGGCTTCTCCCGCTCGCACCACGCAGCTGGGACAGGGGACGGGGACAAGATGCATACACGGTCACCTTCCCCAGGCACCTGGCCTTTCTCAGAGAAGAGATGAGGCAGCCAAAGGTAATTCACCTCCTGCACCTCTCCTACAAGAAATAAA